TTCGAAAATGATTGTATCTTTTGCATTCCCACCAGCAGTACTTAACAGTTCCAGTCTCACTTCAGCCTCTCCAACGTTTGTTGTTTCCAGATTTTTTAATTCCTGCCAGTAACACTGGGGTGAGATGGTATCTCATTGTGGTTTTGATTTGCATTTCTCTAATGGCTAGTGATCACTAGCATTTCCTCATGTGTCTGTTGGCTGCTTGATTGTCGTTTTTAGTGAAGTGTCTGTTCATTTCCTTTGCCTATTTTTTAATTGCATCGTTTGTCTTTTTGTCGTAGAAGTGTTGGATTTTCTTGTAGATTTTAGAGATTAGACCTTTGTCTGATATGTAATGTCCAAAAATTTTTTCCCAGTCTGTAGGTTCTCTTTTTACTCTTTTGGTAAAGTCTTCTGATGAGCATAAGACTTAATTTTTATAAGATCCCAGTTATTTAGCCTATATTCTGGAGTTTGTTGTTGGTTATGGTTTGTATCCAGTTAATGCCGTGTATTAGGGCCTCTAGCATTGAGCCTATTTTTTCTTCTATGAATTTTATAGTTTTTGGCTTTATATTTAAGTCTTTGATCCATTTTGAATTAGTTTTTGTATATGGTGTGAGGTATGGGTCCTGTTTCATTTTTTGCAGATGGACATCCAGTTTTGCCAGCACCATTTGTTAAAAAAACTGTCTATTCCCCATTTGATGTACTTTAGGCCCTTGTCAAAGATCAGGTGACCGTAGGTGGATGGATTTACGTCTGGTTTCTCATTTCTGTTCTGTTGGTCAATATATCTGTCGTTGTATCAATACCAGGCTGTTTTGACTACCGTAGCTGTATAGTAGGCTCTGAGGTCAGGTAGTATGAGTCCTTCAACTTTATTCTTCTTCTTCAGTAGTGCTTTACTTATCTGGGGCCTCTTCCCTTTCCATAGAAAGTTAATGATCAGTTTTTCTGTGTCTTTAAAGAATGTTGTTGGTATTTGGGGTAGGGATTGCATTGTATTTGTAAATTGCTTTGGGTAGAATTGTCATTTTGACAATGTTGAGTCTGCCTGTCCACGAGCGTGGTACGTTTTTACATTTGTGTAGATCTCTTTGGGTTTCTTGAAGTAGTGTTTTGTAGTTTTCTCTGTATAGGTCTTTTACATCCCTGGTTAGTTTTATTCCTAAGTATTTTATTTTTTTAGGGGCTCTTATAAATAGTACTGTTTTCTTGATTTCCTTTTCATCGTTCTCTTTATTGGTGTATAGGAATCCAACTGATTTTTGTATGTTTATCTTGTATCCTGCTACTCTGCTGAACCTATTAGTTCCAGTAGTTCTCTCGTGGAATCTGTTGGGTTTTCTATGTATAGTATCATATCATCGACAAGTAGGGACAGTTTAACTTCTTCATTACCAATTTGTATGCCCTACATTTCTTTTCCTTGCCTTATTGCCCTAGCTAGGATTTCCAGCACAGTGTTAAATAGGAGTGGTGATAAAGGGCATCCTTGTCTTGTTCTTCTCGAGAGGAATGTTTACAGTCTCTCTTCATAAAGAATGATGTTGGCTGTTGGTTTTAAATAGATGCCCTTTATTATGTTGAGATATTTCCTTTCTATACTTATTTAATTGAGAGTTTATATCAGGAATGGGTGTTGGACTTTGTCGAATGCCTTTTCTGCATCAATTGAGATGATGATGTGATTCTTTTATTTATGCAGTGGATTATGTTGGTTGATTTTCTAATGTTGAACCATCGTTGCATACCTGGTATGAATCCTACTTGGTCATAGTGTATTAATTTTTTGATACGATGCTGAATTCTATTGGCTAGAATTTTGTTGAGAATTTTTGCATCTATATTCAGGAGAGATACTGGTCTGTAATTTTCTTTTTTTGTGGTGTCTTTGCCTGGTGTTGGTAACAGGGTTAGCGGCTTCATTGAATGAATTCAGAAGTTTTGCTTCCTTTTTTATGTTCTGAAATAGTTTGAGCAGTACTGGTGTAAGCTCTTCTCTGTTTGGTAGAATTCCCTAGTGAAGCCGTCTGGGCCAGGGCTTTTTTTTGTTAGGAGTTTTTTATTATCTTTTCAGTGTCTTCTTTTGTTATGGGTCTGTTGAGATTTTCAGCATCACTTTGTGCTAGTTTGTGTAGATAGTATGTTTCCAGAAATTTATGCATTTCCTCTAGGTTTTCAGATTTTTTGGAATAGAATTTTTCGTAGTATTCTGTCATGATCCTTTTTATTTCAGTTGGGTCTGTTGTAATGTCGCCCATTTCATTTCTTATTTGGGTTATTTGCGTCCTCTCCTGTTTTTCTTTTGTCAGTTTTGCCAGTGGTTTGTCAATTTGGTGATTCAAAGAACCAAGTTTTGGTTTTGTTGACTCTTTCTACTGTTTTTCTGTTCTCTATTTCATTTGTTTTTGCTCTGATCTTTATTATTTCTTCTGGTGGTTGTGGGCTTTTTTTGCTGTTATCTGTCTGTTTGTTCGAGTTGTGTAGTTAATGTTTTGATTTTTCCCTTCTTTTTTGATGTGTGCATCTATTGCTGTAAATTGCCCTCTGAGGACTGCCTTTGCTATGTCCTGAAAGTTTTAGTATGATGTGTTTTCATTCTTGTTTGATTTTAGGAGTTTTTTGATTGCATCTCTGGTTTCTTCTATTACCCAGTGGTCTGTAAGCAGAATGTTACTCAGTTTCCACATAATTGATTTTTTTTGCTTTGCTCTTCCTGTTATTAATTTCTACCTCCATGGCATTGTGGTCAGGGAAGATACTTTGTATTATCTCAATGTTTTTGATGTTGTTGAGGGTTGCTCTTTGGCCTAAAATGTGGTCTATTCTGGAGAACGTTCCATATGCGTTGGAAAAGAATGTGTACTTTGCAGTTGTTGGGTAGAATGTTCTGTATATGTCTGTGAAGTCAAGTTGGCTGATTGTGTCCTTTAGGTTTTCTGTATCTTTGCTGAGTTTCTTTCTAGATGTTCTGTACTTTACCAACAGTGGTGTGTTGAAGTCTCCTACTATTATTGTGGAAGTGTCAGTTTCTCTTTTCAGTGTTGTTAGTTTATGTATTTTGGAGCCTTGTCATTGGGTGCGTAGATGTTTGTTATGGTTATGTCTTCATGCTGGATCGTCCCTTTAATCATAACATAGTGCCCTTCTTTGTCTTTTATGGTGGATTTCGTTTTTTAAAGTCTGTTTTATCTGAGATTAGTATTGCCAGTCCTGCTCTTTTCTCGTAAGTATTTTCTTGATATATTTTTTTCCATCCTTTGATTTTTAATAAATTTACATCTTTGTTTCTAAGGTGTGTCTCTTATAGACAGCATATTGATGGATCCTGTTTTTTTAACCCATTGTGTCACTCTCTGTCTCTTTATGGGTGCATTTAGGCCGTTTACATTCAGTGTAATTATTGATAGGTGTGAGTTTATTGCTGTCATTTTGTAGTGCTTTTTTCTGTGGTGCTGACGTTTTCTTTGTTCCTCTTACTTTCCTGTGCTGAATTCCTTTTGTTTGTGTATTTTGTTTTCATTTCTTTTGTTTTTGTGTAGATTTTTTGTTTACTGCAAATTTATGTTTTTCTTTATTTTGATAAGTAGATTTGTTAATTTTCTTCGTAGTTACCTTGAAATTCACCTGTATCTTCCTAAGTTTAAACCAGTCGTTTACTACTTGACATCACCTTGACTTCCTCTCCATTTAAAAATTCTGTACGTACCTGTGTATTTCCTCTTTTATTGTTCTGATGGTGTTGTCATTTACAGATTGACCTCTCTGGTTCCCTGTTGTAAATCTTTTTTTGTTTTGTTTTATCCTAGAGAGTTCATTACCTTGGTTGGTATCTGGCAATGGAATGATATATGTAAAACCTTGAAAGCAAAAAATTGCCAGCCAAATATAATATATCCTGCAAAACTCTCATTCAGTTATGATGGTGAAATTAGGACATTTCCAGATAAACAAATTAAGGGACTATGTAAAAACCAAACCCAATTTACAAGAATTATTAAAGGAAGTCCTTCAATCTGTGAACAAACAACATCAGACCACAAACTGAATCTAGGATGCAAGATCACGGCAGCCAGATACCAATCTAGGAAATGAACTCTTAAGGACTATCCGAAACCAAAAGAATCACAGCAGGGAACCAGAGAGGTTAATCTATAAATGACAGCAATATCAGAACAATAAAAGAGGGAATAAACGGTAGAGGTATAGAACCTTCTAATGGAGAGGAAGGCAAGGCGATACCAAATAATAATAGACTGGTTCAAACCTAGGAAGATAAGGGGAAGTTTCAAGGTAACCACAAAGAAAGTTAACAAACCTACTCATCAAAATAAAGAAGAAAAACATAAAGTCTCAGTAAAAACAAAATCTACAAAGACAAAAGAAATGCTTTCAACTTTTGATGAAAATCCTGCGGTATATTCCTTTCTTCCTTGGAATGTAAAGTATCTTGGATATAATTTATTAGCTTTGATAACTTAGAATTACGAGGTCCTTCAGAGTCATGATGATGTACCTTAGTTTCTGTAGACTTGTAGAAATACAGGAGAGTAGGATACTGGGCTGTATCTTTATCATTGACCCCAGCATATACTCCAAATCAAAGTTTTGTTGATGGATGGGGTTCAGGGAGTCAGTGCGTACCCTGAAATTGTGCACAGAATTTGGGGTTTATGTTCTCAGAGAAATTGCATAGATAAGATTAGATTCCCAAAGACATCTAACAGAAGACCCAAACAAAGTTAGGGAATCACTGCTAGGTGGTTCTTTTAAAAAACCTTTCTGATAGTGTTTTTTGTTTTTGTGATTGGCTTTTTCCTTTTATAGATAGGGATAAAAGTGCCAATTAAATGGGGATTGTATTAGGGATATTTCACTTTTCTAGATTTTATTGTCATGCGAGAAGGTAAAATGCTTAGCGTTGTAAAAGAAACGTATTAGAGTTTTAATAAGTAGGTTTGTTTTTTTTTAACTTTCTAATGCTAATCTTTCAACCTAAATGACTTTCCCAGGAATTTTTAGTGACATTCATCTGCTGGCTATGATGTACTGTGGAGAAATGTGTTACTGGGGATTGAAGCATTGTGCAAATCGACAGTCAGAAAATCATGAAGTGGATACTAATGCTTCTGGAGCAAGCTGTACTACACACAAAGAACCATTGGACTTCCGAGAAGTAGGGGAAAAAATTTTGAACAAGTATGTATCTGTGTGTGAAGGACCCCTGAAAGAACAAGAATGGAATACAACAAATGCAAAACAAATTTTAAATTTCTTTCAGCATTGTCATAACTAGTAACTTCATCCATTCCTTTTCAAACAGACCGAAAAAAATAGACAAAAAAGACGCATGAAATGGAAAAGTTCTAGAAAAGAAGACACGTTGACACTAAATTTGAGAATGTTACACTACATAAAGACTACAGCATAGTTACCCTTTTTTAAGAGCCAGCACTGTCTTTCATTTTATATTTTTAATCCTATGAAAGAATGATTCTTTAATTTTTAAAATAACGTGTGTTATTTTAACTCAGCCTGAACTACAGATATCCTGTAACTAATAATAAGGAGGAACCCCATTTTATTTTCCAAAGATTATTTTTCTTTTACTTTAGATTATGTTTTAATCTTCCTATATTGAAGTTTGTCAAGATTAAAATCAAGTTACATCATTTCTTTGAAAATACACTGTGGATATAAGAATAGGCAAAATGAAAAATTATGATTAATATTCAGCTTCCATTTTCAACATACGGTAAATAATGAAAGACTCCTCAAAGAAATCATTGTGTTTAATTTGCCGTGAATTACTAATGGCAATTAAATTTTTTACTCTAGTATCATTTTATGAAAATTTAAAAATTATATTCCAATTTGGTTTAAAAGAAAATCCATGGTTTATGAAGTGATTAATGAAGATTAAAAAGCACGTTAGGTTAGTCAACCATTAGTAGCTCCTATGCCCTTAGGGGACATCTGATCATACTATATTAAAATTTTAATATTTTTTTGCCTTTAACAGTAGGTATGAGTAGTAAAAGCCAGATAACCTATCTTGGTACCTTCCGCACAGTCTTTCTGTCTACCTCAACTCCAGTTTTCGTCTTGGGGGGATGATCTGTTTCATACTCTAGGTGCGGGGTTTCTCGACTTCTGCGCCAGTGACTTTTATCGCATTCCAGCAACTTACTCCCATGACCACATCTTGAATTGAATCCTGATCAAGTTTCTCTTTCTGAAATCTTAAATTTCACTACCCATTAACTGATGACAATTCTCATCTTTCTGGATTTTCCACTTCCTTATTTTTGTAGATTTTTTCTTTTCCTTATTTCCATTTACCATCTCTTTAGCTTTTCACAACCTCCTTTTCTTGACTACATCCTCTTTCTTCTAAACAGTTGGCCACTTTCAGATTTCTTTTATTCCTATCCAGCCTCAGCCTTATGGGGTGCCGTATGAACTACTTGCTTGCCAGTTCCCTCAAATCCCTGTTCCCCATGGCCTTCAGCCTAGTCATTCTGCCGGCTGTCAACCTTGAATTAATCCTACTATCCACCTTTTCTGGGATGGTGAGCTCCACTTGAAGTTCATGTAGTTCTTCAGAGTGGAATCACTACAAGTGTCTTGCCTCAAACTTTAGAAGAATCCTCAATGTAAGCCTTTGTTTATTACTAGTGTGGCCTCAATCTTTTCCCACTGTGGCTAATCCAAACATCATCACTTGCCTCAGGCCCTCTGTCTCCTCCTCTAGCACATGGCCCTTCTTTCTGTTGTAGAGAAAATGGAGAGTGAGGTGGTCAACTTCGGTTTACCAGTTTTACCTCACTCATTTTTCCTATTTTTAGAGAAAAAGAGGTAGCCTCCTTCCTGTTGAAGTCTAATCCCTACCTGTGCTGCAGATTTTATCTGTACTGTCTCCCTCATTTCCTTGGGCCTAACTTTTATTTATTGGTCTTCTTTATGGGCCTACTCTCTAGTTGTTGATCTCATTTAAAGGTTTACCCTGTTTCTTTCTTTCCTTCTCTCTTCTTGTCCCCTCCTTTATTCTCTTTTTCTTTTTTACTTATTACAGATACCCTTCTTAGGCAATGTCATTCATAGATATGGCTTCACATGCCACCTGTAATATTAGGCTGACTCCCACAACCAGTAATCAGTTCTTGTCCAGTTGCTTCTGACTCATGGTGACCCCATGTATTGCAGAGTAGATTTGTGCTGCAAGTGTTTTCAAGTCTGTGACCTTTTGGAAGCAGATCATCAGGCCTTTCTTCTGAAGTGCTTCTGGATGGTTTAGATCACTAACCTTTTAGTTAGTACAGCACTTATCCATTTGCACCACCCAGGGACTCCACTGACTCCCAAACTAGCTTGACTTTAGGCTTCTCTCCTGAGCTCTAAACCTTATTTCTAACTTCCTGTTAAGTATGTTTGGAGCTCTGGTGGCGCAGTGGTTAAGAGTTTGGCTGCTAACCAGAAGGTCAGCAGTTCAAATCCACCACCTGCCACTTGGAAACCCTATGGAGCAGCTCTACTCTGTCCTGTAGGGTTACTATAAGTCAGAATTGACTCGACAGCAATGGATTTTATTAAGTGTGTTTACGAGATAGACATCTCATAGTGATATTATGTTCAATATGTCCAAACAATTCATCTTCATCTTTCTGGTATCAGTATGGCCACCTCTGCTCTCCTTTGATTACTACAGGTATATGTTGCATAATGTCCATTCGGGCAATATCTGATCACTTTTAAATCCATGGTCCCATAAGGTTATAATAAAGTTCAGAAATTCCAACTGGAGAATGGGATGTAGCAGATGTTCTTTGCTAAGTACTGTAGATTCTATCTGTCTCTCACTAGCACTCAGGGTCCCTTGTCAGCTCCAGTCCTGGGGCAGCAGGGGGAGGGTGTCCTGGCACCCATCCTTGGCTGCCTGTCCCACCGCACTTGCCTCAGGCAGGGACTGCACAGACACCACCAGAGCCACTGATGGGGATGTCCCACCAGGCCACCACCCCACTTGACCAGGGTGCCCTGTGCATCACGCCTGGACCAAAGATTGCGGCTCATCCCTTGGTGGCAGCTGCTGGGCAATCCGGGCTGTGGCAGTGGTGGGAGGAGGAGCAGAAAAATGGCCAGGGAGGAGGCAGAGGCCAAGGTAGAGGAGGGAAGGCAGGGATAGAAGAGTTTAAAGCCCATTAGGGGAGGCGGGGAAGGCAGGCAGGGGGGAAGAAAGGGAAGGGAGCCTGCGGTGGAGTCAGAATTTTTGCGCAGTCCCTTGGTGTAGTGGTGGCGGCCTAGGTCCCGGGCATGACCAGTGACCGTCCTTCACATCCCTCTTCTGTATATAGTTTGGTGTTTGCACCAGGGCTTTAAATCAGTTCATAACAGTTCAGTAATCGCCGTTGTAAATGAGGGCAGTGTACACACTGCATAGCAGCCAAATCTGTTGCCCATCAGGTTTTGACCTGAGTAGGAAACAAACAGTGGTGCCCCGCTCAGAGATGGTAGCCGACTGAGCTGCTTTGAATGCGTGTTTTTCTCCACAGTCCTGCCAATAATCCAGTCTCACATATCAGGCTCCTGAAACTTTCAGGATCCATGCAGAAGACTGGGTTATTGGCAGGACTGTGGAGAGTGACACACATTAAAAGTGGTGCTGTTGGCCGCCATCTTTGAGGTAGACATCGCTGTTTGTTTCCTACTCAGGTCAGAATGCAGTGGGCAACAGATTTGGTTGCCGTGCAACACTTACACTCCCCTTACTTACGTCAGCAAATACTGAACTGTTCCAAATTGGTTTGAAAGAAATCACACAACGTCATATTTCACAGAACATAAAAGTGACACATACCTGTATTTGCACAGAACATCCTTTTCCATCCCCTCACTTTAATCTGTTTGTGTCTTTGGGCCTAAGATGTATCTCTTATAGACAGCCTATAGATGGACCATGTTTTCTTATCTAATCTGCCACTCTCTGCCTTTTGATTGGAGTGCTTAATCCATTAATGTTCAGGGTAGATATTGAGAGAAGATGATTTACATTTGCCATTTTATTGTACACTGTTTTATGAGATTTCTAGGTTGGTTGATTTGTTTTTTCTCTTTTCCTCCAGTGCTGAGTCCTTTTTATATATAGCTTTTGTCTCCCTTTTGTTAATTTTTTTTAGTAGATGTTGAGCTATTTTGTTTTTCTTCTTTATTTTGGTGTATAATTTTGTTACTTTCCTCTGTAGTTGCCGTGAGGATTATGTTTAATATCTTACAGTTAAAGCTACCTATTGTATCTTGATACCAGTTTGACTTCCCTAAAATATGTAAAAGTCTCTGTCTACCCCAGGCCCCTGTTCTTTTATATGGATGTTATCATTGCTTCTTTGTCTTCTGGCATCCCTGTATTCCTAGTTTGTTTTATTGTTATATGTAAATAGTTACTATTCTCTCTCTATTTTTTTTAATCTTCTCCCTGTAAGTTTGTCATTGTAGAGTATGAAGGACTTGTTTTATTTACTAGCTGTCCCTTGCTGTATGTATCACTTCTAGTTGTTGTCTGGATGTCATTGTTTTTCATTCTGTATTACTTTCTTTAATATTTCTTATAGGGCTGGGCTGGTAGTTACAAATTCCCTTAATTTCTGTTTATCTGGGAATGTCCTAATTTTACCCTCATTTTTGAATGACAGTTTTGCTGGATATACAGTCATGCACTGCATACTGTCCATTTGGGCAACATCCGATTGCATGCACATCTGTGGTCCCATCAGATTTTTTCTTCTTCTCTTTTTTTTGAAAGGAAAGCAGCTCTCCTTTGGCTTATTATGTCCCCCCCTAATGGTTTCAAGACCTGATTATTTTCTTCTTTAAATTTTTTGTTGACACTATGTGTTTTTTACTAATGGAAGGAATGCTGATTAAAGGACCAATTCAGAATTTTTGTCACAAGTTATAGATTTTGATACCCATTATGTGGAAACACATGTGCCCCAGTAGACCCTGGAGGTAGTAAATGATGGCAGTATGAGTCAAGGATAAAATCACTGTTTTATTTATTTCTTAAAAATTTGCAAAACATGAGGTAAAACATGAAGGCACCTGGCAATGACTGCCCATATATTTTATTCCAGTCTCCTCCTCCTCAGTCTTTTTATGATTTTTCATGAAACTTTTCCAAACATGGTACAATGCATTCTTCCTTACTGCAAAAGCAGTACTTACACACCAGATGAATAAAACTAAAGGAATTTGAATCTCAGGAAAATTACCACTGTGTATCCTTTATTATAACAAAAGCAGTACTAACAGCTAAGAAGCAGAAGCAGCTGCCCTGGAATATTGCTGGACTGCACACAGTGGTGCATTCCAGCTGGCTAAATGTGGGTGCAGTGAGTGGGCCCTAAGATTGAGTGCAGGGTAAGAGTAATTTACAGAGTTCGAGTCCCTTGCAAAGTACCAGTGCAACACATTATTCCTTATTGCAAAGGCCATTACTTACTGTTCAGAATCTAGAAAAGCAGTTCTGAAAGATTGCAGAACAAAGACTGAAAGCAGAGCAGGGAGCCAGTAACACCTGGAAACAATGAATGGTGTCAGGGAGAAAATGGCCACTATGACTGACTGAAGACTAAGAATACTTTATTCTTACAATAAGTACATTCTCAGGAGAAACATAGTATTAACTGGGAAACATAGTGAGGAGGCTTCTCTCACAGAAGTAAAGACAAACCTGTCAAATGTTTAGAAAATCCACACATCCAGGAGGCATCACCTAAGACAGTGTTCAGTCTACACAAAAATGAGGCTCTGACTCAGGGTTCTTGAGTTTCACCCATTCTACCTTGAGGTAAATGCATTAAAATCAGGCTGCCTGTTTCCTAAAGAACTCCAGAGGCATAAAAAGTGGTTGGGATACCGTATGTACCGTATGTCACAAAAGGGTTTTAAAAGTGAATCCTGGTGGTGCAGTAGTTAGTGCTTGGCTGCTAACTGAAAGGTTGGTGGTTAGAACCCATCAGCTGCTCTGTGGGAGAAAGATGCAGCAGTCTGCTTCCGTAAATATTACAACCTTGGAAACCACGTGGGGCAGTTGTACTGTGTCCAATAAAGCATTACTGTAAGTTGGAGTTCAACTTGATGACAGTAGATTTTGTTTTGTTTTATTTAAATGGTTTTTAAAGACCCCAATTCCCTGGAGTGAACGAGCAGCAGGGCTTCAGGGCATATCCTGTTCCCCGTCTATGCCACCTTTGCTCCTACTGTGGGTGCTGGCGGAGGCACTGGCTGGGCTCGAGTGCTCACGGGCTCCCAGCCAGGGCCGCGACCACCAGCTGCGTTCCTGGTACCCATATACTCCCTGCCCAGTCCCCACGGCCACCTCTGCACCTCCGGTGCACCCTCTGCTGTCAGCCTGGATGTGCGCAAGGTCCTGATACGGCTGCTAGTGCAGCACCTGCCCCACCTGTACACCTAGCAAGCCGGGCCTCCTGTATCCAGTGGATACAGCTCTCAGTCTTTGTCTGGCAGACAGGTCACAGTGAGGCCATGGGGCCCAGGTTGCTCCTGCTCCTTAGGTGGGCTGAACAGTGGATGGGGCTGGGTGCTTGTAATGGGGATTCCTATATATAGTATGGTGTTCACATAATGTCCAAATCACATAACATCCTATTTGACAGAATGCATTGTGGACATTAAGCGATGCATGACTATTATTCTTGGTTGGCAGTTCTTTTCTTTCAGGACTTTGTGTCATCCATGCCTTCTAGTCTGCATAGTTTCTGACGAGAAATCAGTGTAAGATCTTATTGAGGCCCCTTTGTAGGTCATATTTCGCTTTTCTCATGCTTCTCTCAAAATTCTTTTTTTCTTTGGTCTTTGCTTCTGGCAAGTTTGATTATGATACCTCTTGGTGTGTTTGTCTTGGGATCTATCCTATGTGGAGTTTGTTGAGATTCTTGGATGAAAATCTTCTCATCTTTCTTGATATTTGGAAAGGTTTCTGCCATTATTTCTACAAAGATTCTTTCTGAACTCTTTTTTTTCTCTTTTCTAGAATTTCCATTATGAGTATATTGCTCCTCTTGTTGGTGTCCCACATAACCCTTAGGCTTTGTGCGTTTTTGCTCGTTCTTCTTTGTTCCTCAAGCTGAGTAATCACCAAGAATTTGTCTTCTATTTCACTGATTATTTTTTCCAGTGTTTCAGTTCTACTCTTTTTATGGAGTTGCTTATTTCTGCTGTTCTATTATTAAGCTTCAGAATTTCTAGTTTTTGTTTTGTTTTTAAAGATTCTCTTTGTGGAATTTCTCATTTTTTTCTTGTGTTGTTTTCCAGAATTCTTGTAGGTTTTTTTTCCATGTTTTTCTTAATCTCTTTGAAGAGACTTAATACTAGTTTTTGGAAGCCTTTATTGGATAGGAGAACCTTGGTGGCGTAGTGGTTAAGAGCTATGGCTGCTAACCAAAAGGTCAGCAGTTCCTTGGAGAAACTATGGGGCAGTTTTACTCTGTCCTTTAGAGTCTCTGAGTCAGAATTGACTCGACAGCAACGGGTTTGATTTTTTTTTTTTTTTTTTAAATTGGATAGTTCCATTATCTGTCCTTCTTCTGAGACCTTTATTTTGTTCGTTAGTTTGAGCCATCTTGTTTTGTCTTTTCATTAGCTTTGTAATTGTCTGCTGTCTTCGAGACATTAAGGGTTTTTTTTGTTTTGATACATCAGGAGCTTAGCTTCTTCTCTTTCTCTTTAGGTTGCTTCCCTTTGTGTGAATTATTAACACAAGACAATAGTAAGCATATAGTAATTGCCCGGTCTCATTGCAGGAAGGAGCCCTCCGCATGAATTCGTGTAGGCAGCCCAGCTCCCTCCCTTCTCTGTACTCACCAGGGACAACGGACATCATGTCCACCATCCCGTGCCTTTCCTTTGCCCCTGCACAAATGTGCGCTCCATGTCTTTTCTGTGTCTTGCCCTGCAGGTCTTACAATCCAGCCCACCTAACTCTGTTCCACCAGCACTTCCCTGTGGTTCACTGGTTTCAAAGCTTTGTTGCTCCCATGTGTCACTCTCAAGCATGCCCAGACCCAGTGACCCACTTGCTCACTTCATGTTCCTTTTGGGGGCTGTTTACACAGTATCTGTGTCTCAAGCTCTGTTTGCTGTGATGATCCTTTCCTAGACTTCTCACTCAAGTATTGCTTGTAGCTGCCCCAAAATGGCCATGTTGTACCAGGCCAGCAGCTAGGGTGTGGACAGTCAGCAAATATCAGCTTTTCTGCTGTGCTTGTTCTATTTCTTCTTCCAGTTGGTGTTTAGTCTGCTTCTTCAACCCTTTAGCTGATGATCAGAAGTCTGCGGTCACTAATTGTGTCTGTTCTTCGTTGTTTACATAAGACGATGTTGTTTGTTTGAACAATCTTTTTCTGTCTGTTCGTGTGGTTTGTAATTGACTGCTGTTTTCAAGACATTAAGGTTTTATTTATGTATACTTTTTTGTATGTTTTGTCTTTGGTTTTGTTTTAATATATCAGGAGGTTAGCTTCTTACCTTTCTCTTTAGATTGCTTCCCTTTCTATGTATTATTTTAATTGTTATTGTTTTGGCTTTGGTGCTACCAGTTGGATGTGTATGGATTCCTCTCACGGTTGGGTATGGTAGATCGCATACACACGATGTTCCTGTATCATTAGGCATGGAGGATTGCATGGAGGTGAGAGAGCAAGGCCCTTCCCCGATTGTGAGGTGCAAGGTGTTGGGTGGTCAAGATCCCCCTGCAGCACTTGAGGAACAGTGCAATCTGTCCACGTTGGCATGAACAAGTAGTGTGGCCCCTGGAGAGAAGGACAGGTCGTCTGCCATGTCACAGGGAGGGAGCACTTCCCAAGTAGGCAAGGCAAGTCGTCCAAGTAGGCACAGACTGGCAGCTGGTATCAGTGTGTGCATGAACAGGTAGGGTGAGGGAGGGGTGTCATGGGGCCTGCATGCATGTGCACATGGCCCACAGCAGGGGGATGGGGCAGGGATCTGCTCTTCCAGACAGCCAGGGATGGTGGGGGAGGCGGCCTACACATGTGCATGGACTGTCTGTGCAAATGGGAGGGTAGGGGTGGCCATAAGCCTGTGTAAATGGGAGGTGGGGGCAGCACAGGGTGGGTTCCTGGGGGAGGGTATTTTTTTTTTTTTTATTGTTATAGTTTAAATGAAGTTTACATTTCAAGTTAGTCTCCCATACAAAAAAATGTATACATTGTTATGTGACTCTAATTGCTCTCCCCATATGGTGACAGCACACTCCTCCTTTCCACCCCTGATTCCCCATGTCCATTCAACCAGCTCCTAACCCTCTCTGCTTTCCCATCTCACCTACAGACAGAAGCTGTCAGTTTAGTCTCTTGTATCTACTTGAGCTAAGAGGCACACTCCTCACAAGTATCACTTTATGTCCCACAGTCCAGTCTAATCCCTGTCTGAAGAGTTGGCCTCAGAAATTGTTTTAGCTCTGGGTTGATAGAGAATCCAGGGGCCATGCTTTCTGGGGTTCCTCCAGTCGCAGTCAGACCATTAAGTCTGGTCTTTTTACCAGAATTTGAGTTCTGCACCCAGTCTTTCTCCTGCTCCATCAGGGACTCCGTTGTGTTCCCTGTCAGGGTGATCATTGGTGGTAACCGAACACCATCTAGTTCTTTCTGGTCTCAGGCTGATGAAATCTCTGGTTTATGTGGCCCCTTCTGTCTCTTGGGCTAATACTTTCCTTGTGTCTTTGGTGTTCTTCATTCTCCTTTACTCCAGGTGGTTGGGACCAATTGATGCATCTTACATGGCCACTTGCAAGCTTTTAAGACCCTAGACACCACTCACCAAAGTAGGATGCAGAACATTTTCTTAATAAGCTTTGTTATGCTAGTTGATCTAGATGTCCACTGAAAGCATGGTCCCCAGACCTCGCATCCCTGCTACTCTGTCCCTCAAAGTGTTTGATTGTATTCAGGAAATTTCTTAGCTTTGGTTTAGTCCAGTTGTGCTGACTTCCCCGGTAGTGAGTGCTGTCCTTCCAGTCACCTAAGATAATTAGTATCTGCTATCTAGTTGGTAAATAACCCTCGCCCTCCCTCCCCACCCTCGTAACCATCAAAGAATGTTTTCTCCTGTGTTTAAACCTTTTCTTGAGTTCTTATAATAGTGGTCTTACATAGTATTTGTCCTGTGACTGACTGAATTCACTCAGCATAATGACCTCCAGCTTCCTCCATGTTATGTTTCACGGCTTCATCATTGTTCTTTATCGTTACATAGTGTTCCATAATTTGTTTATGCGTTCGTCCACTGATGGGCACCTAGGTTATTTCCATCTTTTTGCTATTGTGAACAGTGCTGCAGTGAACATGGGCGTGCATATATCTATTCGTGTGATGGCTCTTATTTCTCTAGGATATATTCCAAGGAGCGGGATAGCTGGATCGTATGGTTCTTCTATTTTCTAGCTTCTTAAGGAAGTGCCAAATCAATTTCCAAAGTGGTCGTACCATTTTACATTCCCACCAACAGTGTGTAAGTGTTCCAGTCTCTCCACAACCTGTCCAGTATTTATTATTTTGTGTTTTTTGGATTAATGCTAACCTTGTTACCTCATTATAATTTTGATCTGCATTTCTCTGATGGCTAATGATGGTGAGCATTTCTTCATGTGTCTGTTAGCCGCCTGAATATCTTTTTTGGCAAAGTGCCTGTTCATATCCTTTGCCTGATTTTTAATTGGGATATTTGTCGTTTTGTTGTTGAGGTTTTACAGTATCTTGTAGATTTTAGAGTTTAGATGCTGATCGGATTTGTCATAATAAAAAATTTTTTCCCAGTCTGTCGGTTGTCTTTTTACTCTGGGTGAAGTCTTTTGATGCGTTTAAGTGTTTGATATTTAGGAGCTCCCAGTTACCTAGTCTCTCTTCTGGTGCTTGTGCATCGTTACTTATGGTTTGTATTCTGTTTATGCGTGTATTACGGCTCCTAGCATTGTCCCTATTTTTTCTTCCATGATCTTTATCATTTTCAATTTTATATTTAAGTCTTTGATCCAGTTTGAGTTAGTTCTTGTGCATGGTGTGAGGTATGGGTCTTGTTTCAGTTTTTTGCAGATGGATATCCAGTTATGCCAGCACTATTTGTTAAACAGACTGTCTTTTCCCCAATTAACGGACTTTGGGCCTTTGTCAAATATCAGC